GTATTTTTGCAAGTTGTTAATAACAATGATCATCGACGTTGAAAAGTTAGCTGAAAATCTTGGGAGGACCACTTGATTCCGCGCCGCCGTGTCTCAGCCACTCGGTCGTCGGATCGGGCGCGGAATCGTCTGGGAATGGCCGAGGGACATAGGCCGAGTTCGTGCGGGAGTGTCTACGAGAGGGAAGGTCATCGGGTGGCAAGCTCAGGTTGAGGTGTGCTCATTCTCTTTGGTAGAAAAATGCTAAATAAATTCGTCCTCTCTGTTTCTCCCTTCCCTTCCCTCCCTTCCCTTCCCTTCCCTTCCCTTCCCTTCCCTTCCCTTCCCTTCCCTTCCCTTCTCTCCTTCTTCTCTCCCTTTCTCTCCCCTTCCCCACCCTCTCTTTCCATGTTCTCTTCCCCCTCCCCCCTCCCTCCCTTCCTCACTCGTAACTCCGACCGCCGGTAACACTACTCGATAATCACGGCAGTTAGAAAGTGAGTTTTCGGTCGACTTTCTACTTCGACGGGAATGCAGAAAAAAATGAAGGGAAAACACTGCGGTTGAATGTCGTAACGCGGAGACCATCTTGCAATCTGCGGGTCGGGACAGTCACGCCGCTCAGATTGTGCAATAATGCGCAATGCAGGAAGGCGTGTTACAGTCATGCACGTGCGATAATTGCCTGTCCCCTGTCCCCTGGCCTCCAGCCTCCAGCCTCCAGCGGGCGGCCGAGGCAGAGCGAGGCCTGCGCGGGGAAGCGGGAATCAGACGAATACAGGTCGGCTGCCTCGGAACACACGAGGCTCTGGGCGGCGATTGTTCAGAGGAGCGCTTTCCGCTTGTTCGATGTGTGCTTTCAGATCCGTTCTCTCCTTCTTCCTCTTTATCCTCCCCCTTCTGCCTCTCTCTCTCTCTCTCTCTCTCTCTCTCTCTCTCTCTCTCTCTCTCTCTCTCTCTCTCTCTCTCTCTCTCTCTCTCTCTCTCTCTCTCCTTCTCCTCCCCATCGTTTTTACCTTCTCCCTGTCTCTCCGTATCAGGCTCACTCTATTTTTTTTTCTCCCGTCATTTCTCTCCCTCCCTTCTTATCCCTCCCCTCCCCTTCCCCCCAACACCTCCACCTTCACCCATTCCTCTTTCCCTCTCCCTTCCTTTCCCTCCCTCCCCTTCCTCCCTCACATTCCTCTCTCTCTCTCTCTCTCTCTCTCTCTCTCTCTCTCTCTCTCTCTCTCTCTCTCCCCCCCTCCCCCTCCCTCTCTCTTCCTTTCCCTCCCTCCATCCATCCTTCCTTCCTTCCTTTCCCCCCCTCCCCTCCGTTCCCCACCCTCCCCCTCCCTCCCTCCCCCTCACCCCAGATGAATGCACAAAACACGTGTCCCCAAAGGAGTGTTGATCCCGAGCTAAGGAGGTGGGGGGCGGGGGGGGGGAGGCGGCGCATGTGTTTAGTAAGACAACAGGTATGTGAGGCGGTGTTGCCATGCACATGTTCATGCAGAGATTTGGTGGAAGGGGAATGGAGAAGGAGGGGAGGGGAGGGGAAGAGAAAGGAATGGAGAGCGGGGATAGGGATGGGGAAAGGATTGGAGGGAAGGATGGACAAAAGGGAGAAAGAGAAAGGGAAAGAAATGGAGGGAGGGCAGGGGAGAGAGGAAGGGAGAGGAAAAGGAATGAAGGGGGAGGAGAGCGTGCCAACTCATGCCAACGTCACCCAGCCTCGTTTGCGGTTCGGCTCCTAGCAACGCCGTACGTCTCACTGGGTCGAGATTAATGAGGTTTGAATGGAGGGACGAGAATTTTTTTTTTTGTGTGTGGAAAAAATGGCGTCCGATTTCATGTGCATTTGCTGTAATTTTGTTTCGTTATCGAGTGCCCTCTCTGCCTCTTTCGCTCGCAGTTGTTCCAAGTCCATCGCAGATCTTGAGAAGGAGTTCATGATAGCTAGTGTCTTTAATGTTGATTAAATCCAACTCCCCCTTGGTGTCTTGAATTGTGGCTTAAACGCTGTAAATTTCGTAGCAGTTGGCCCGGCTGGGAGAAAACGGGAGGTTTTTAAATTAATTTCGCAAGGCGGTCACGTTGAGAAATATTTTGATGTCACCGCAGTAAACGGTGACATTTTATGTCGAGATTCATTTATGATGATTGGTGTAACCACATGCAGGATGTTACTTTTATTGTCATTGCAACAGCGGTTATGCAATGAAGGAACGCAATTTTGGGGCCGGAGGGTGAGTGGAGCGCCGTTTCTTCCGCGGTGAATGTGCGAGGGAAGAGCGAGGCTCGGTCGGGATTGTGCCTGGTGCGAGCGCTTCGGCTTGAGGTCGCTTATAGGTGTTGATCTATGTGCATTTTACACTAAGTCTTTTTATTCCACATGCAGAAGAGACGCGCTCTCACTCGCGAACACAGGCGCCCGCGCTTACAAACACAAACACACACACACCTCATCTCGACACATTCACACACATAAAGAAATGGCCCAGACCAGAACATTAATGCCCATTTTTCTATTTCTCCGCAG